TGGACCTTGCGGCCAAAATCATTATTTTGACGCGCCCCTAGATCTGTTTGCCGTTGCAAACATTTACAAATGCGCAGTCATGCATTTCGGCCTGGGAGTGCATAGTCAAGCTTATTATCCTTGTACCACGGTTCTCCCTTGGCGGTCGCGTGAGACTGTCACCACACTTGTCAGAGAGCTAGCTATTGCGTTTCTTGGGTCGTCATACAGACATTTCATCTGACTAGACATGTCATCCGATTTTCCAGTGCCACCGATTATACCTCGGTGGTACAACATTCGTACAACGAGCGTAGAGGGTTGGGATGCGCTATATCATGACCGGATCCACGAATGGAACACCCTAGCTGCATTTTAGTTTTTCATGTTTACATTCTTCCTATGTAATCTTATTTGTACGTTGCTCTTTTAATGAGAACATTAATATATAAGCCTTCAATTTTGGAATTTTTAGATTTATTTTCGTCCGGAAATAAAAATTGTCGAAATTTTTACCATGGTCCTTAATACCCTATGGGAGTCCAATTGGGTGGGTTGAACTATCCAATTTGTCTTTAAACGACCAATTTACCGGTTTACAACTTGCACCGATTTCATTAAATCAAGCCTACCACGAACATTTATGACAACACATAATGATCATAAATGGCTCCAAACGACATTATTTGACCCCGAAATGTATCCCCTATAATTACAAGACTTTTCGACACCGGGCCCCGAATTTTCCAAAATTTCTCAAAAAACATGGATATTAGCCTTCAATTTTGTAATTTTTGACTTTTTTCGCCCGAAAATAAAAATTTCCGAAATTTTTACCATGATCCCTAATACCGTCCGGGAGTCCCATTGGGTGGGTGGAACCATCCAATTTGCCTTTAAACGACCAATTTACAAGTTTACAATTTGCACCGATTTCATTAACTCAAGCCTACCACGAACATTTATGATAACATATAATGATCATATATGGTTTCAAACGTCATTATATGACCCCGAGATATATTCCCTAAGATCTCAAGGCTTTTCGATACCGGGACCCGAAACCTCCAAAATTTCTCAAAAAACGTGGATATTAGCCTTCAATTTTGGAATTTTTTGACATTTTTTTTACCCAGAAATAAAAATTGCCAAAATGTTTACCGTGGTCCTTAATATCTTACGGGAATCCAATTGGGAGTGTGGAAAATTTACCGGTTTACAACGGCCAATTTAATTAACTTGCACCGAATCCGACTTGAATCAAAATTGACCCTAACCCATTTTATCCCGCCAAAACCCGAATTTAACCCGACTTGTTACTAACCTGACCTGAATTCAGCCCGACCTGAATTTAACCCAACCTGTTACAAAGCCGACCTGAAATCAACCCGACTTGTTATTGACCTGACCCAAATTCAACCCGAATTGTTATTGACCCGACCCGAATTTAACCAGACCTGTTACTTACCCGACCCAAAAATTCAACGCGATATGTTACTAACCCGACTTGAAATGAACACGACTTGTTATTAACCCGATCTAAATTCAACTCAAATTGTTCCTACCTGATTTCAAATCACCTTAAATGCAATTTAGTCCACCTTATTATTGTTGATCAAAGCATTTTGTCTAGGGAGACCAAGTCGATCCATGCCAGCAAAAGAAAGGAACATCATCCTCAAATTTAAGAGTTAAATATAGTATATATTTGTTGTATGGTCAAAGGAGATAATTATCTTCCTAAATTATAGACTATAGTTCTCTAGTATATTGTCATATATATTATAGTCAAAGGAAATAATTAGCTTGATAAAAATGATAATTATCTATTTATAGTTAGTTGAACCCGAATATGATCTGACTTAGAAATGACCCGACCTGATTGTAACCTGCAAATTAAATTATTGACTTGAACATAACCCGACTTGAATTCGAGAATGACCCGACTTGGAAATGACCCAACCTGATTATAACCTGCAAATTATTGACTTGAACCGAACCCGACTTGAACCCGAGAATGACCCGACTTGAAAATGATCCGACCTGATTATAATCCGCAAATTATTGACTTGAACCGAATCCGACTCAAACCCGAGAATGACCCGACCTGATTCTAATCCGCAAATTATTGACTTGAATCGAACCCAACTCGAACCCGAGAATAACCTTAACCCGTTTTAACCCGTGAAAATCCTAAGTAAACCCGACCTATTGTTCACCCGACCTGTTATTAACCCGACCTAAACCCGATAAGAAGTATGACCCGACTCAAGCATGACTCAGCCCAAACCGACCCATATAGGTTATGGAATTAATCCGAATTGACCCGACCCGAGTTCACCCGACCCAAACCGGACTCGTTTACCTGAATTAACAACTCTAATTATTACGGAGTATTCTGTATTAAGCTTGTGGTCCAATTTTATTAGGTAAATATGGATCGGTCCATCCCAACTACATTGATTCAGAATTAATAAGAATTATGGGCCTTGGCGCAAGTCATTAGTTAGATCCAAATGAACATATTTTTTTTTTTTGGAGGATTCGTAAGGAGAAGAGTCCTATCGAACCAGAACTTTTCACAGGTTTACCCGGTTCAAGTTAGTAGGATAGGCCCTTTAAATTTTTTGGGTAAGATAAGAGAATCTCCACCCCAAACGAACATGCATGTATGTATGCTTGTATATAATAGATTAAGCTTACCTCATAATTTATACAAAGTACTTTGTTAAATAAGTTCCCTGATAGAAAATGAGTGAATTATAATTAGTGAATTATATTAAAAAAAAATTCATTACTGTATTAATGTGCTAAGGATTAGTAGATGAGTATCGCCGTAGAAATTGGCAACAAATTATTCTTACAATATTTTATACGAAAAAAAAGAAGGCTTTAACTTGTTACTCTATAGGTTGTCGTTGGAGAACGAAAAGGTGTTCTGTACAATTAAAAATGATGGTCTAAATTTCCAAGATTGCAGTCCTAATTTAAACAGAAACTTTAAAAATGCCATTTGTTCGTTTAAATACACTGCGGAATGTACAGCTAAAAAGAGTAAAATGTTCCGCACACGAAAGCAAGCACCGACGCCAACCTTAACCAGCATAATGAAACATGCTGCTAGTAAAAAATTCACAATAAGATACAATATACAGCTCTCTATACACCCCTCAATCCCTCATTCAATTAAACTGTGGCCCTTTTTTTTAAATATTGAAAGATACTTTTTATATTACAAAATTTTGTATCATGTTTTTATTTTTTAAAAATCACCACAATTTATTTGTATTAGTTAATACTTGCAGCTTATTGTTATACTATGTATGTTACTAAGCTACTTTTAAATTTCGTAAAAAAAAAAAAAAAATTAAAAAAACTGCAATTACTCAAGCAATGTGTTACACTTCTGCCTAACAAAGTGATACTCGGATTCATTGTGCGATTATTTCGATGCTATATTTTTTAATTCCACCATCTACTGGTGTTGGGATTGGAGAATTCTACTCCGTATTACATTTTCTTCTTACTTTTAACTGTTATAATATGCGTAGTTAAGTTGACTTAATAAATTTATCCTTACGCAATTTTAATACACTAAACCGTTAGCGGGTAAAAAATAAGTGTCTACGCGCATAGGTCATATACTCATGGTTACCAATTTACCACAAGTAGTTTGAATGTTTTCAGCCTCTACCTTTTTGTGGCAAGACATTTTAATTTTATTTTGACATTTTGTTGGTTTTAGGCGGCAAAGTAAGCTTACGTAACAACAAAGGTGTAGTATGAAATTTTTTGCAATTGCACTAATGACCAACCATTCAATTATTCAAGTCACTTTTCCATTCATACAGAATCTTTTCCTTTTGACTTTTCTTTTTTGAATGATATCAAATTATAATGGTTAATACACGTACAATTACTGTCATCTCTACTCCATATTAGCGAAACATCATCAAATTAAACAAGAAATAGGATTAATGCAATTGCTTGATTATCCCCTTGAGAAATGAATGCATGATTCACATTTCAATCTTAGCCCTTTTCTTGTTTACCTTATTTTCACTTAGGGCTTGTTTCGATATACTGAAAATAACTGAACTGAACTGATTGGGGTTAAACTGACTGAACTGAAATGAATTGTTTAGAGAAAAGAAAATTCGGAACTAAACTAATTAGAGCTGAACTGATATGAAATTAAGTTGAATAGAACAGGCCCTTAGTTCATGCTTTATAAGTCAAGACAAATTCAAATAATATAAGTTCAGGAAAATTATATTATGATAAAAACTATTGAAGTTCAAATTACAAATAAAACAAGGTAAAACAAGATTTGATAGTTCAAGTTAATTTAAATAATGAAAAAATCAAATAAATAGAACACACCCTTGATCCCTTCTTACATTTTCTAAAGGACTTACTATAAAATGAAAATAAAATAAAATTGTAACACATAGTAATATGTTATCTACAATCTTGCCAAAAAAAGAGTATTTATTATTTTACGGAGAGTGAAATTTTTAGTGTGTAGGCCGTAGGGTCGTAGGAGTGCTTGTTAATATAAGAGTATTTTTTTAAAGGAAATAATAATGATTTGACCGTATTATTAAATTAAATTAATATTCTCCAAATGCATTCACTAGCTCTAAAAAGTGAAAACATTTAGCTTGCAAGCCAGAAGAAAATAAATCTAATATCACGAGAGGGGTGTACCACTAATACGATATACATTCCGGTTTTAGACATTTTCCACAACATGAAGCACGAAGAACAAAACCCAAAGACATAATAAATGTGATGGTTACAAGAAACAACCATCAACTCCCATAAAAAATATGGTAGTAATACAATACAACCCCCAAATCAAAAAATTATGGTATGTTGGTGATGTTCCTTTCTTTCACTCCAGTAAAAAAAGTAAACAATTTTTAAAAAACAATTAAATTAAGCAAAAACCCAGAAATCTTTAATTGATCGTAACAGCCGGAGAAAGCCCATGGCGCATTAATAGCTCAAACAACACCCCCCACCAAAATCGACAGTTTTTATTAATATTTATTTCAATTTCTATTTTTCTAATTTCTTTATTTCTCTTACATTTAATTTATGTTTTTATTTTACTGACTCTCACTGCTACTCCGCAAAACCTGTTACTGGTAGAACTCAAATAATCCGACGGATTGAAAAAAAGTGTCGCAATCACTTAAAAAAATCAACCTAAATAAAAATTTCTTCACTTCTCTATCTTTTCACCAAAACCCCACTTCAGTTTTTTCTTTTAAGCTCACACCCACCACCTTCTCTTTCTCTCTCCTGCTTCTTTTGGATTTTTTCTGGGGAATGCACACCAACTGTTCGATGAATTGCTTGAATGAACTTTGATCATAAAAATGGAGGATCAGCTCTCAAAACAAACCTCAATTTTTGGGATACGATTATGGGTTTTGGTTGGAATTTCTGTAGGAGCCGCCATTGTTATCTTTCTCTTCCTTGTATCTCTTTGGTTCTTCTCAAAGCGCAACAATAGCAAGAAAGCGAAGCAATCTCAACTTCCACCCACCTCAAATACAACAATAATCCCAGTTTTATCGAAAGAAATCCAAGAGATTACTGTTGCAAAACCAGCTCATACGAATACCCATGTCCATCAACATCATCAACCCGACCCGGATAGAATTATGGGTATTGACGATAATCATGCTTTGATTGTGAAAGAAGGAAGAGAGGAAAGAATCCAAATTGAGATGTTGGGTAAGGATAAATTTGGTGGCTCATCTTCGGCGGCGTCGGTGGGGGGTGGTCGGAATTTGGGTGATCATCAGGTGGCTACGGTGGTGCCGGAAGTGTCCCATTTGGGTTGGGGTCGTTGGTACACTCTCAGAGAATTGGAGGATGCTACTAATAGATTTTCTGACCAAAATGTTATAGGTGAAGGTGGTTATGGTGTTGTTTATTATGGTGTTTTAGATGATAATACCCAGATTGCTGTCAAGAATTTGCTCAACAACAAGTGAGTAATTTCATGTTTTTTTTGTTTTTATTACTTTCATTCATAATTTGGTTGGTTTTTATTAAATGCATTTTTGTTTGGTTGGTATTTAGTGCTAAGTTATTGCTTATTAGTGTGAAGATTAGATTTTGCTCATATGGACCTTATTACAGTTAGTTATGTAACAAGGTTTATAGTAAATTATTGTTGTTTATGTTTTTGATTTGTTAGAAAAATAGGGGGGGAAAATGCTTTTTTGGTTGAATTATCATTCAATTGAGTTAGTATCTGATTGATTATTAGGGGACAAGCTGAGAAAGAATTCAAGGTTGAAGTGGAAGCGATTGGTCGAGTTCGGCACAAGTGTTTAGTTAAATTGTTGGGTTATTGTGCTGAAGGAGAACAAAGGTACACTTTTTCATTCCATTAGATTTGTGTTTATTACGAATATGTAATTAAATTTCCCCTGCAGATTTGGAGGGCTTTCTTATTTTGGAGCTGTTTTGATTCTGAAATGTTCTACTTTTTTGTAGGATGCTTGTTTATGAGTATGTAAATAATGGAAATTTGGAACAGTGGCTTCATGGGGATGTTGGTCCTTGTAGTCCTCTTACTTGGGAGAGCAGGATGAACATTATACTGGGAACAGCAAAAGGGTATACTGCCCACTTATGTTTATTTTGCTTTCCGCTTTGTTTTCTTTGTTGCATTGCATTGCTCTAAGTGGTTTTTTAAATGTATTTGCAGATTAACTTACCTTCACGAGGGACTTGAACCAAAGGTTGTTCATCGGGATATTAAGTCAAGCAACATATTACTGGACAAGCAGTGGAATGCTAAGGTTTCCGACTTTGGTCTTGCAAAACTTCTTGGCTCTGATCATAGCTATGTAACAACTCGTGTGATGGGAACATTTGGGTATGCACATTCAACCAGCCTGCTGGTTGGTTATGATTCACACTTATCAACATTTGTTAATTTTAAAGCTTTTTTTTTTGTTTGTAGCTATGTTGCCCCCGAGTATGCAAGTACTGGCATGTTGAATGAAAGGAACGATGTGTATAGTTTTGGAATCCTCATTATGGAAATTATTTCTGGAAGAAGCCCTGTTGATTATAGTCGCCCTCCAGCAGAGGTCAGCTTAATTTTCTTTGTACTTGAAACACAAACTATGTATCTGTCTTTTATCATACTAACAAGTTTTAATTTCAGGTGAACTTAGTTGACTGGCTTAAAACAATGGTTACGAATAGGAATCCGGAGGGAGTTTTGGATCCCAAACTACCTGAAAAACCTGCATCTAGAGCACTCAAGAAAACTTTGCTAGTAGCCTTGCGTTGTGTTGATCCAAATGCACTAAAGAGGCCGAAAATGGGGCAAGTTGTACATATGCTTGAAGCCGAGCAAGAATCTTCCTTCAGAGATGTATGTATCCTGTATAAGTTCATGATTTGGCATTGATTCTATGTCCATTCTTTGACGTGTAGTTGGAAGTAGATTTTCAAAATATCCAGTGCATGATGATTTAAAGAAAGTATATTGAGTGCTGATTTAGTTTCCTTGTGAGTGTTAAATTTCATTTTCGTTCTCATTGTAAATTTGTTTGTCATGCTACATTTCAGGACCGCTCACGGACATCAGGAAGGACGATTGTTGAGACTGATCACAAAGAAGCGACAACATTGAAGCAGGTAAACGAATAGAGAATATAACGTGAGGCAGACTTCTGAATTCTATTGCAAGTCTCCAACAAGGAAAGGCATGAAATTTTTTGCCATTGAAATGAATCCAATTTTTTTGTTTTGTTTTGGTGTTGCACCGTCTAGTTCATTCATTGTGTCAATCCTTTCACAACTCGCTTTTGCAAGCCATTCCCTGTCCTCTAAAAAAGGATCTTCCCCTACCTTCCTTTACACTTCGTTGAATAGCCTCAATTCTATATAGACAAGTTTTGTAAAGTGAATCTTAAGTAATGCTAGTGCTTTAGAGCTGTTAAAATTGATGGTTATGGCATATACTCAAGAAAATCTATTTCATATTTATTACAAGATCCTTATATCATGTCAATTTTTATTTATTTATTTTTGTAATAGATTATGTAGTATTCACAATTCCATATCCCACTTTTTAAATGTATGGTATGTTAACAATAATGAATAATGAAAAGAAATTGTGTGTTGATTCCTTGGCTTTTTCCTTTTCCTTTCTTTTCGAAATGGACAACATAGTAGTAGTTATAATGTTTGGTAAGTGATTTTTAGACTAGAGTAATATTGTCTCACCGGTCCAACAAGCCAATTGAATAAGCCAATAGCGACTAGAAGTGTTGTAGATTGCCAAACAGAGCCATTCTTAGATAAGCTCCACGGTTTTACAATTTGTATCGATTGAAAAACGATGTACATTATTTAAGTGCCATAGTTTACACTTGTTTTATTTTGTATCATTAGAAAATTCCAGTCTTTGTTATTACCATGCTTTATTGATTCTTCTCCTTTTCTTCTTTTGAGTACATCCATGGCTCCATTCCTGATTCTCCTCTTCTTTTTAGTGGCTTTTTTGTTCCCCAGTGGCCAGTTCATACTGGCATGCAAAATACTTTTTGGATCAAATGCTTGCTTTCGCTGTCAATGATGTTGCTGGTCTTCTATAAAACATTCCCAAGTGGAATTTAATTTAAGACCAATTAATTATGTCAAGAAATATGAAGCCATAAAAGCTAATTAACTACTCATTTTGTTCCAAGTACAGTACTAAGTAGAGTTTAATCGAACTTGGTGGTGATATTTTGCCAATTTCGACCCTTACTTTTGTTTTTAATATTTTAATTTTGGGGATGTTAAAAGAGAGCCGCAAGGACAATGACATTGGCGAAACATACACTTTTGTTTATTGCTAATGTGTCAACTGCTATGCAACTTATATCAAATAATCAATGTCAATGAATTAGGTAGAATCTTTGAAAGAAAAAAAATGGTATAATTTCCTCATATCCCCTACATGATTATTGTAAATATCAACCTATTCTTCCATTCTTTAAGAGGGCGTATTCGAGTGTAGTCGTGGTCTTGCTATTTATTTTTTTGCACGGTCTCTTATTTATGAGTGGGGGTGACAAAATGGCCCTTGAGTGGACATCCTTTGTTTCTTCTACCTAGACAATTAGCACGATCAGGAGCCAAGAACTTTTCTTTGACGCACCTGAAACTGCAGTGCACCCTGCAAGGATTTGTATGTGATGGTTGGTAGAGAAATGTTTGGTGACTCCTCGCCCCTGAGGAGTCGCCAAACCTTCCAATCGGGGGTAAATAATTTAGCTAGGAGTTAGTTTGAATTGTAAGAAAAAAAAAGAAAAATGTTTTACAGCTCTCAGGGAATCGCCGGAGCATCCAATTTTAGGTATAGTTCTAGCTGTAGTGGTATTTGTATAGGTAAAGACATATACAAGTGTATAGTGTCATAGTGAGGTGATTCATGTTTATGTTAGTAATTCAAATATGGAGTAGTTGTGATAGTTAATTGGTTTTTTCTTATATTAACACCTTGAATGATTGAGGCAATAATTATGATAAATTGTAGTTGTTGGGAAATGCACTATTTGGAATCATTCTGAAAACGACTGATGGTTGCTTGTGATTAATATGCTACATTGCTGCTTGAAATATCCTTGTTAATAGTGAGAGGTAAGATCCACTGCATTTACCTAAAACTAAAACAGGAGAGTATATTCTGCATTATCTGAATCGCCGAGTAAGGTTAATAGCTTTAATATGGTGCTTTGTATAAAACAAATGTCGACTTCTTCATTCGTTTCTACTAGTTATTATTTAAAATCTTTTTGAGGGATAAAATAAAGTCAAAGTAGGAATAACAAATATAGGTGGAGGAAGTAGGCCGATAAAGATATAGCTCTTTGACCCAATTTAGTTTATGTGTAAATGGCTTTATGCCTTAAATTAATCAAAAAATAGGAAATGGGAACAATTGAGGTAAGAAAGGATGGCAGTCCATTTAACTATTCTGCTCATGAATCAAGATGGAATAAAACCGATCTAATATATAGTTCCATAACCATGTATAAATAACATACATATTTTAACACAAGAAAAATTGGTAAGAATACCCTCATCAACCATCATCCCAATATGCGGCTGATTGTACTGAGGCGAACAAGTGAGAATACAAACAATACCCAGATGACATCTTACAAAACTAATAAGATTGTCGATGCAAGCAATGACCCATACAACCAACGTCGTAGGACCTTATGGTGTTCCTTATTAGCGTGATTAGATTGAGTAGATGAACTCCCATCTTCGGAGGATGTTGATAATGCAGCTGGCGGAGGAGGTGCAAGTTTTGGAACGTTGCACGAGCCAAAGGTTCCATTTTCCTGTTAGTATAACAACCAATAGTAAGAATATGACCCACATTGACTGTAAATGATGGTAACGGTACCAAGTTTGTGCATATTTTTGGAGGAAAAACTTAGATTAAGGATCACAACATATGGGAACAGATAATTCATATATAGTATAGTAGATCAAACCTTGCAATAGGCGATATTGTCACATCCACAGGTTAAGTGACCGTTGGCTTCATCAACTGCCTCTGAAGCTCCACCACCATCACTCCTCTGCACGTTTAAACCAAAGAAAGCCAAAAAGTATTAATACGCAGCATCAGTAAACTATTTTAGTATAGCAATGCAGGTAACACTTGTTATCAAAAGAATCCAGTTAAAGGTGGAGAGCTGATAACCTGGTAATAGTCAACAGCAATGAAGTTTGGCCATCTTTTGCCATCTTGTTGGAAGCAGGTGTTGATCATTTTAATCAAGGGAGCTGAGTTCTCTGCACAAGCTTTTGTAGAATTGGGATTGGTTGGAAAATAATTTACGAGAACCAGAGAGACGGATTTTGTGTCCATTGGTGGTGACTCAACACGGTTTGGGCATGAGCCATCAATCATACCTTCATCTCCATCTGTATTTCATCAAGAAATGAATGAGTGGAAACTTTTTTCAGCATACTAAAAGAGGGAAAAAGAGACGAAAACGGGCTACTCTTTTTGTTCAGTTTGCTCACTCAAATTAGACTAAAGATTGCAAATTTGCAAATGTTTCCTAAGTTTGTCAATGTAAACTGAAGTATAAGCATATCTACCAGTAGCCACAAAATCACTAATGAGTAATGACACTTTCAGACAGCAGGTTGCAAATGACTATAATGGTAAATTGGTAATGTATCAGTGTAATATTGTAAGAAAAATTACAAGTATGTGTTTAAATGAAAATTTATTGAGAAAACTATGTACTTGGAGGTTGGAGATGTGAAATTGTACTGCCAAGGACCTTAGTATGAGATTTTCCTTGCAAAGTTAGTTAAAGACAAACTTAATAACATTACTGTCAAGTTGACAGTGTCAACCAAGAGGGCTGTTAATTGTTGTATTTGAACTCATGAGAACAGACTATCAAGCACTCCAGTATTTTCTTAAATATATTTATGGAGCTTTTAAGCTTCAGTCCAACATCAAGGGACAAACTATGTTATGTTAGCAGGATTTATTTATGTAATATGTAGTAAAGAGAACAGATAACAAGCAACTCACATTGATTTTCCACCATATAATTCCACTGATAGGCTATCCCTTCAGAGGCCTCCTTAGACTTCACAGAAGTGAAAACTAACAGCCGCTGATTTTTTGCCACCATATCATCCACAGTAGGCCAATCAGTGCCATTTTTAGGCATCCGAGATAGAGGAAACATGAATTTGCTGAGCCCGGCTGAATTGAATATCTTGGTAAGTCCCATTGGTGATTTCACATAATCCTCTATGATGATTGTAACGATTTCTGTCGGGTTTGCTTGCAGGAAACTCTGGACCTCTTTAAGAACATTAATTGCTGGTTGCTGTTATATAGACATTAGATCGATAAGAATATATAGTTTCAGAGTCTGAAATTGTCATAATTAAATGAATATAACGCAGGTCAATGAGCAAAAACTTACAAATGATGTGAAATTGAAGCACTTGCCTCCAAATGAATGGCACAACCAGATGTTGTTCTCAAAGTCATACATGTCCAGCATAAGCCCTCGGACACCATTCTACAGAACAATTAAACCTCGTCAGACTCATCCAATGACACTCTATATCTATCAGAATCACTTTCATCATATCAAGCAGCCATGCTGATCAATTTCATCTGTCGAATTTTTATTTACTTATAATAGGGTTACAGTTACACAAGGAGCCTCTTAACACAAAGAGCTAGGATTGTCTAATGCGAAGTATTTAACACTGTAAGCCAAGTTGAGCTGGTGCAAGACCTGGCTAGCTCAGACAGAGCTTGGCCAAGACAATCTTTACCTCGACTAGTTCAGGGTGTGCTACATACAAATATACAATATGTTTACGCGGCTAAGCAGGAAACTTTCCTAGTTACAAACAAGGTTAATTTTTTTATTACCCACTAGTTAAACAAGTAAACATTGCACCATGAAAAATTCTTATTAACAACATACTTGTCATGGTGCAATGTTCATTTGTTTAACTAGTCCAAGTCTCCTCCAACATTAGCAAGAGGGCTCCTTAAAATAAACAAGACAGTTCATGAAAGATTTTGAATGATTATGTGTTGGAACAATTCCAAATGAAAGAAATTGAAGGGTTAGGTAGGTAGTAGAGAATGCTTATTTTATAATCTAACTGAAAACTGGCAGTCAGGAGATTTGGTACAAAAACATTGTCACCTCGTTTTATGGTACATGTTTAAAGCATCAATTTGTGATTGCAAACACACAAAAAAATAAAGATTTTGCATTAGGAAAATAAAGATTAGAAATTTCTATATAGATCAATTTGGCCACCACACCGGGCCAACTACCCTAGATAATACCACTTTCTCATTTTCTCTGACTATCATAGAATAAACGGGATAAATAATGAAGTATTTGGTAATCGAAAATACAGTTTGAGGATTTTAAATTCGGATTATAAGTTTAGATTAATTATGGGATGATTACAGAATAGGATTCTTCGAGGAAGATATCTAAGACGTGGTACTAGATATCTAGATATTTTCATTTAACACGTGACAAATGTATGTGGCGTATGTTTAAGGTTATATAACATCCTTACTTAAAATTTACTGTACAAAGTAATTCAACGAAGCCGTTTAAGGAACTTCTCCTTTTCTTTCCTTAAGGTAAGTCTTTTTCAGCAATATATAAAGACATATAAAAAAAAATTGACATGTCATCACATGATTCACATCCTAAGCAGCCGTAATGTTGAAGGAAAGCAAAATATGTAGGTTGAGTCATTCAAAACAAAATTAAAAATAACATGTGGCGTTGCATTATGGAACTTATTAGTCAAAATTATTGTATGTGGAGACCACAATTTACAAATGTTTCCTATTGGTTAACTTTGAATTTTATTTTATTCATAAAAATTTAGCCCTTTTGTTTTCACGTAATAAACATGAGAATAATTACATATGGTATCATACAAATTTAAAGAGGGTGTCTATTTTAAAATTAATTGAAAAAGATAAAAGGCAACTAACACAAGAATATAACTGACGAAATGGAATAAAGCAAAAGGCGAGTCAGGTATTTAGTATTATAAGCAATGTTAACCAAATAATGAGCAATATTCCGTATTAAAGTTGGTTTATTTTGTTAATTTAGAGTTATTTGTATTTAACTAAACTGTCCAAACTAATTTAAACTTACCTTAAGAATAACTTGAACTCCAGAAACTTTTATCTAAATTTATTTTTTCTTATTAAGCTGTTTATTTTTTCGAACAAAAATTTAAAAGTAGGAAAACGAAACACTGATTAAGAATAAAGAACCAACATTTTTACTAACACCCCTGTACACAGTAATGCTCAACAAAACTTTGCACCAACTTTATTACACCGTGAGTCTGTAGTAAAAACTAAAAAGGTTTTTGGAACACATCATGTGGAGTTTAGCTATTTAGCAATGGGTGAGGTAGGTTAGAAAAAGTGGTAAAATTCAAATTTTAATCTTTACATCTAACAAAAAGGCTGAAACCAACGTGGTTATTGCAATCTTCTTAAACTGTACTCTTATTTTATTAGATTGGCAATTAGGTATACAAGGGGAAAGTTGTGCACACTACTTACAAGTTCTAAAATTCAATTCTTTTATGTTCGTTACTATTTTAGGAGAATTTAGTTACTTGTTATATGAGATATATCTACTTCAAAGTCTATAAAGTAATGCTATGAATATCAAAAGATAAAAACAAATTTTGTTCACTAATTATGCCAAAAACATAACCTAATACTCTGTGTGCTGTTAGCTTAAGCTTTTTTAGAAGAAAGTTATGAAGAGCTGATTATGCAAACAAGTCATATTAAGTTTTACTACTTCTATTACACATTACATAACTTTTAGGTACAACTTGTAAAATATAAAAAATTCAGACGTTACACATAATAGATAACAGAGTTAGTAAAAAAAAAGTGCTCCACATTTAGATTTTTATTCACTTAACATAATTTGTAACTTTTTACTTAATTTTTTTCATTGCCCAGTACTCCGTAGCATATTTTGTTAACAAATCGACATTTAAATGAGAAACATAAATGCAATTTTTGTTTAAAAAAAGGTGGTTGAATGAATGAATGAGAGAGAGAATGAATACATACACGAAGCTGGGAGGTGACAGAGTCTTCTTGATTGGTAGGAGCTAGTAGAATACTACCCGATGATGACTTTGTGGACCCTGACATTGCAAATGCATTATGGCTCGTTAGCCATGAGTATTTGTTGAACGCCAACCCTTTCACCTGTTTTTTCAACATGATCATATTATTTCAAATTCATCTTTATTTTTTCACTCATTAATTTGTAATATTATGCTACTAATATAATTACATTAGTAGCATAATATTACCAACTAATTTTTTAAAATTAAAATTAAGAAAAAAAAATAAATAAATCAAATCAACCTTAGAAGTAGGAATGATGGGTTGAGTTCGAGAACATCTGGGACGAGTATTGCCATTAGCTGCACAAGTCTCGCATCGGAGCCCGGCGTCGCAATCGCTGTCCTTTGCACATGTCTCTCCGATCTATTCATTTTTACAATCACAACCAACAACAGAATACATCAACTAACAGAGTATATTTATATGAGAAATAAATCAATAACTAATTTTTTAACTAACATTTAATTAACATAAATCGATCACAAAAATAGTTAAGTAAATAATGAACCTTGAGACTAGATGAGGAATGGAAGAGAAAAGCTGAAAGAAGCAAGAGAGTAATTTGAAAGAAGAGAACATAATGTTGATGATTTGGACCCCATGATTTCATGGTGCCCAAGAATTTAGAAGAGAGAAAATTTGATTGATTTTGTGTGTTGAATGTCTGCTTTAGGGTGGGGGAAGGTGGTATTATATAATTGTTGAAACAAATTTAAATTAAATATTTTACAAAAACTAGTCGCCCCTTCTAGATTAGTTATATATGTGTTGTAATTTTTAATTTAGAAGGGGATATCAAGTGGGGAAAGTTGATAGGGTGATTTTTCAGTTCTAAGCTAACATAGATTTGGCACATATGTTATATGAAGTATATGTGAATACGATGGTTTGATTTAGTTCCATAAAGTAAGCAAAAATAAATTTCCTCCAAGATAAAGTAAAACACTATTTTAAGATTGTATTAAGTTTGTTCGTTAATGGTTCATATTTTTGACGTTTAACATATACTTCGTGTAATGTTAGCATAAATAATGAAATGTTGATGGAATAATAATTACATTAAAATTGATCCAACAAGATTTTACATGATAATGTATTTCTTCATTTCAAAATAGCTGGGTTAGTTATTTGTCAAATTTATGATCTTCCTTTAATCATTAAAAGTTTTAATTATGTATAGAGTAATAGCTCTAAAAATTACTAGAAATTGATGTTTTTATAATAAGTTAATTTGTATAAATAATTAAAATTAAGGATTATAAAAGTTTGTTTATCTTTAAAAAATCAAATGCGACAAATTTTTTGGAGCAGAGGTGCATATATATATAATTTTTTATGTAATCTATTATTTTCTTTTGAATTAAAAGGTATAGTTAACGCACTATTTTTAAAAAGAAAAGATATACGTGTAAAAAAAAAAAAAAAGGAGGGGGGGGGGTCTACCGTCTATGTAGTGTTAGAGAACCATTAGCCAATAATGATTGGAAAACTCGACCAATATATAATCTAATGTAGAAACGAATTATATGGGACACCTCATTTAGAATACAAGCTAAGCTACTTAATTATAAAAATAATAATAGAAAGCTACTCCATATCTTTAAAGTCTGCTAAAATTAATGATAAAATTTCTCTTGTCTATTACTCCAAATGTGCAATGTGTTGTCTTAGCTTACCTTTATATTGTTAAAATGGGAATAATGTGTATAACAATTAAGATTAATCAAATCATAATACTCTGCTTTTCTCTCATATTTTCTCATATTTATATTACAGAACATAAACGCTTTAGTCTTTATGCTTTGGAGCCTTGTTTAGTGTTTGTGCTAGCTTTTTCCAAATCTTTTTTGGAAGGAAAAAAAAAAATTATAAATGCAATAAGCGTCTCTTAATCATTTTAATCAATGCAATATTCTATCTAAAAGCTGCAACCATAAAATTTAGGCAAAAGCTTATCCATTTTAACCAGTTATGGAATGTAACAGAAAGTAAAGACTCAAATAAGTAAGTTTGGTTTGTCTAAAAGGCTAACTTCATTTTTTTAGCAACTCTTGGTTGCATCTTGCATGGCCTAAATTCTCCACCTAAAAATAAATGAGTGCCCTATATTTTAAGAGTTCATGTGGTGATGAGAAAGATAAAAAACTAAAAAAGTACTCGAGTAATTTATAATAATAGATAGAGAAAAATCATGTGCAAATAAAATCTTACAATGTAGTATTTACAGAAAAAATAAAATATCACGTAGTATGAGACCTTTTAAAAATGGTCGCAAAATTAAAATCCTTTCAAGACACGTATTAGGAAGTTATAATTTTCTACAAATATGTGCCCATATCTCTTGGTGGCTTCAATAATGTATCTCTTTGTTAGCTAATAATCATTACAGTTTTACATAATAGTATGAATCCTCTTACATACTGAGTTACAAACTCAACAAAATTCTACTTGTGTAGCAAATTTTATATCCTCTTAAATACTAACTATATTTAGAAAAAATAAATCAATGTACTGTTCTTTGATTGAATTCACCAAAAATAATTAAAAATTCCAGACAAATAAAAAAACGCGTTGATGAATTCTTGTTGAACTTGATCCATGGTCCATGAGCCATAAAGCCCATGAACTCTCAAACTAGTTATAGGATGTTGTTGCGCCCAACTTGTTCTTTAAGGCCCACTGACCGGTACACTTTCCTGGATCTGCCTAAACGGCTAAACCCCAAATATGCAACTCCATAATATCGATCAAGATCCGAATATAGTAGGAGTTACGTTCCGGTGAATCGAGTGGACATCCTAAAAAAAAAACTTCATGATATTGATTAGTGTGGCAAATTGGCAACTAGCAAGTCATAATTAAAGGGTCGTTTGGTTCACTAAGCTGAAATGAATTGATATATATAAGTGCATATTTTTTCCATTTATTTAAAGATGTTGATTTAATGTTTTTATGTAACTTGTGATGTTTATTTAACGAAAACTATTAAGAGGTGTTGGTTACTTTTTAGAAAACAATAGTCAATACTCCGCATGTTACTATTAGGTATGTCTAGATTAAAATACACCTATAGGTATGGATGTTAAAGAGTATTTTTTGAAGAATCAACAGGTAAGCATTTGTAACGTAAATAAATCGTATTCTTTTTAGATCGATAACAAAAGAATTATCCGAGTACATCTGCTTAAAATTTTCAAGTGGGTGTTGTCATCATAGTCATAGATATGAAAAAATATTTTGAAGCAAGAATATCAATATTTATACTTTATTTTGAATCATGGTACTTGTATGATCAATTTTACTTATGTCTGTTATATATATAGACATAAAGAAAAACACTATCATTCATTAAATAAAAGTCATTTAGATCTTGCTATGATAGTCTTAATACGTCATTTTGATGTATATTTTTTTTTTAAAATGATTTATGATCAAACCTATTAATTCTTAAGTTGGTAAGTTGACAAACGTGTTGAATAAGAATATAAAATATGGAGTAAAACAAACAACTTTTTTTTTAATCTCTATTTACGTTGTACACTTGTACATAAAATGAGTTATTGATTAGCATGCTGACAAGAACAATCACCTCATAATTTTGTACTATATAATATATATGGTTGATGATGGCTTCATTACAATCATCGTATTAGAATATTCTCATAAGGTTTGATTCTTTCAAGCTTTCTTGACGACTTTGTTTATTAGCTAGAATTGACCTTGGGTTAGGCTAGTTTGAATTGATCAATGTAACAAAAGCATTTTTTGCAAGAAAAATTATATAATTTGAAACCAGTTCATAAATTGAGGTATGATCAAAACCTTACACGTTTTTTGACCATTTAAGTTCTAGATATACTTCGTATAGCATTAGTTCTATTTAAAACACATTATTAGTAATGGTTGCTTTCTTTTATTATTAAAATAAAATGGTAGATTTATCAAATTTGAAATGCAATTGATTCCCAATATGGCACTATATACAACAAACCACAAATACATTTAAGGACAAGAGACAACATGACAATAGGAGGAAAAAAAAAATCATACTTACGTTAGTTCTTTTGAGTAGAGTAAGGGGAGGATAATTCGGTCCACAAATAAGGTCTAGAGATTCTACATTACAAACAAATTACCAATAGTAAAAGTAATTCCTCTACAAGTCTATCTTATAAAGTGAAACTATTTCTTATCTTTCACCAATATACACACACTCATAAATGGGTTTACGACTTTACGTACAATGAGTTTCAACAACGGTGTATATTACTCCATAGTAAATAATTATAGAGCTATTCGTTCTCTCAATCATCAAACGATTATAAATTTCAAACAACATTAATTAAGACGTCCATATCATACTTCATACTTAATCTAAAAAAAAAAAAATTATACTCCAACCATTTATCTATAACATAGTATTTCTCTTCTGACATTAATCTGAATTAGACGTGCTACTTACCCTTTCATTAATCCGTTGACAAAATCACCCTCTCTAATTAAACTCCCCAAAACCCAATTAATTGTTTAACTTATTAAACCAAGTAAATAACCTAACCATTAAATAGAAATATAAAAAATGCACGTACTTAACCCAAAATCCACCCTTCTTTTTAGCCGATTCCCTCTCTTTCGTCTCTCTCTCTTCTCCTAAACTTGCACACTTGTTTTTTTAGCCTTCTCCACATTTTGACTACCTACTCATCATTTTCTCGAACTCTTTTTTTTTTCAATCAACAAAAATGCATGCAAAAACAGACTCCGACATAACAAGCTTACCGGAGTCATCTCCCACGAGATCGCCTCCGCGTAGGGGTGGTTCTGGGCACGGGCAAGTGTACTACGTACAAAGTCCATCAAGGGATTCAACATCTCACGATGGAGAAAAGACTACAAACTCCTTTCACTCCACCCCAGTCATAAGCCCAATGGGCTCACCACCTCATTCTCATTCCAACTCATCTTTGGGCCCACATTCTCGGGAGTCCTCCTCGACCCGTTACTCCGGGTCCGCTAAGCCCAAGGGCGGTAAAGGTCGTAGTAGTCGTGGAGGCCGACATAATCACCACGATCAACGACACCCGTTCGATGCGATTGAAGAAGAGGGGCTTCTTGCCGGAGAAGATGAGGATGGAGAAAGAAGTATACCTAGACGTTGTTGGTATTTTATATGGTTCGTTGTTGCGTTTTTTTTGCTAATGTCTTTCTTTTCATTGGTTTTGTGGGGTGCTAGTCGCAATCAAAAGCCCGTTATTACAATGAAGGTATTAATCATCTATCTTATTCGTTACATTACTCTCGTTAAATTATTGCATATACTCCCTCCATTTTAATTTAATTGTTCGCTTGAATTTCAACTTAATAGTATATTCCAAAAGTTAGCACGGATAGCCCGTGGCTTGGTGTGTAATCTGCGGATGTATAAAAAAAATTACAGTAAAATAATTGAAAGTTTAATCCTCCAATTAGGTTTCGACACATAAATTTAGGACAATAAATGAGGTAGGTCGTTTAAATATAACTCTAGATAGTGTGGGGTTTCGACACATAAATCTAGTTGTGTAATGCCAATTGCCAAGTACAGTTTTAATCAATCTGCGTATTTGGGGTTAGATAATTAGGAACGGGTCAGTTTCGCTAGGTCTACATACTACGGAGTAATATACTATGGAGTACGGCGTAGTTTATAATTAAATCTGAAATGTTGCAGAGTATAAAGTTCGAGCAATTTGACATACAAGCAGGACAAGATAATACAGGAGTACCAACAGGAATGGCAACTGTAAATGTAACGGTGAAAATGAGGTACAGAAATAAAGGCACATTTTTTGGAGTACATGTAACCTCGACTCCTCTTGATCTTTCCTTTGAGGAACTCAATTTAGCAACTGGAACGGTATTTTTCTTTTTCTTTTCTTTTTTTTTTTTTATTATTATTATTTTTTTTTTTCTCTCAATTTCATCAATTTCTCCGTCCTTATAATTCCAAAATTGTGCGTGTGTTTATGATTTTGTGTGTTTTTTTCTTTTTTTGGTACGCCAATCAAGGGTGTGTGTGTTTCTATGTGTATACATTTTTTTTTTGGACAGGTTTTATGTCGACTATGTGTATGTTTTTGGCCTTATGTGAACATATATACAAAGCTTATAAATTCACAAATCTAAAGATAAATTATTAAATATTAAAAATATTTGTTTGGTATTGTTTCTGTTTTATCTAGTTGCCGTGTTGAGTTTGGTGTCACTGAGATTGTCATTTGTGAATGCACCATAATGAGGCCAATGATGAAGGTCCAATTTGATTTTAGTTTATGGAATTTGACTAATAAAAAAAGGTGCTAAAAAGTGTTTAAACATTTAGATGATAAAAAGTGTTTAAAGACACTTGTATAACTATAGGCAATAAACAAGACACTTTCAAATTAGTCTAAACGATATTAATATGTACTCACTTCACGTCAGGTGCGGAATTTTGTGAGAGGGAAGGAACAAGTAGAGCAATGCAAAATGACCAATGACTCGTCTTATACATGTATAGCATAGCAATTAGCACAAATAAATGCACAATAGAAGACCAAGTGTTTATAGTATATGCTTCCTTGCACGTCAGACGTCAATTAATCTTCATTTTCAGCCACGAAAACTGATGTCACACATTTAAATGCCCAAAACTCCAAATACTAAATGCCAATTTGTTTATGTATAGCATGAATATCGCTGTATATATTTGCAAGTGTTTTATTCCAGGGTTTAATTAGTCCCTGTCAAATCTAGATCATCATAATAAAATATACTTGTATATTTCAGGAAGCTTCCTTTGTCAAAATTGTTTAGCTCATCTTGTGACATAATAAAAGGACTAGGTCTACTATGTCTACATATCAAATTATGAAATTTATTCAATATTGTCCTGCCAAATAAATAAGGATAAAAAGGGACTTTTTTTAATATGTGACCGGGCCTAGTCACCTAGTAAGATGTTCATAATTTATCACAACTTGCCCCTCTAAATCTTGCAACGTACATGCATCTTGATTTCTATACAATGAATATTAGTGCTTATTACGACCCAAGTGTATCTTATACGAGTGTACTTGTACATTTAGGTGTATAATAGATGCGCGATTTTATTGATTAATCTAATGGTGAAATTTGTTTTGAATGCATGCAGATGGAATATTTCTATCAGAGGAGGACGAGTCAAAGACAGATAACAGTGCAATTGAAGGGAGACAGTGTGCCTCTATATGGGGGAGGGCACAGCATAAGCAACAACAATAAAGGAGTAGTAATTTCGCCAGTTCCATTAACCCTAAACTTTAGGGTCAGATCAAGAGCATACGTCTTAGGGAAATTGGTAAAGCCAAAGTTTTACAAGGCAATTAAATGTATTGTGGTTATGAATCCAAAGAAGATGAACGTGGCCATGTCTCTCAAAAATAACTGCACTTACACATAGATTTAGATTAGATACGTCGGTCCAAACCCTTAATTTATTTGGTCTGACTTCATGTATCACATTACAATAAACAGTACAGTAGTTATAATACTTGTAGTATGATTTTTGTTTAATTAATTATCAAGCAAGTTGTTTTGTGCTGTGTTGTATGTCATTAATGCCTTAATTATAAAGTACCATGCACTAGTAATCTACCTCTATCTTATGAGGACCTTAAACCCTTGACTGGAGGATGGAGTAGCTAACTAGCTATCACTAATTCACTACTTTTTTTGTCCTCGCTGCCTACAACATTCACGCAACATTACATACCAAATAGTTAGATCTCTTGTAGGTTGTATTTGGTAGCTCTTGACTACAATGTACATAACTTTAAAATAGTCACATACTTAAACCAAACTCATTTTCGAGACTTTAGAAATCTATTGGTAGTTCTTTTACGGCTTCAAAACAACTTATGTATGACCCATGCATTCACATAAATTTTGAGAAATTTTCTTGAATTTGGTTTGAAATAATAGATTATAACCTTTAATTTTGAACAAATTGCAACATTTTTATCTTTAAAAAGAATGAAGTCAGGGTACCTCCTATGGACCCTACTACACCCGGCCCTGAGATGCCACTTGATGGTTTAAACCGTCAACTTTACCTTTAAAATGTTAATGTTTAGTCAATTATGAACACAAATGCCTTCATTAACTCAAGGCTATCATACCTTTATGTGGTCGACTAGTCACCATAATATGGTTCCAAATAACATCATATAACCACGAGATTCGTCCCCTATCATATCGTGATTTTTCAACATTGGATCCTGAAATCTCTAAAAGGTTTGATTTCGTGTATTATATAGCCTTGAATTGGAATCAAAATAACATTTTTGGACTCGGTAAGATTATACAACGAGGTGATTCATGTGGTTCCAAGAGCCCCAAGAAGGCCTATTTAGTGCCTTAATCCACCCTTGTGTTTCCGAAAAAGCCCCAAGAGGGCAAGCCAAGATGCTATGCTCAAAGGCCTCAATAGGTATTTTTAAAGGGTCAGGTGTTCTCATGTCTTTTGCTTGTGCACATGCCTCAATCAAACCTGTTAATAACATGTACTCTACGTCTGTACTACATTTTTGGATCATAAAGAAGCCATGTAGAAGCCAGACTTATGCATAATGCTTCATGTATAATAATGGACTAAAGAAGGTGTTGGCCCAATTACTTTTCTTTTTTTAGGAAAATATTGGGCCCAACATTAGCTGGACGATTTCCAAGCGAAATAAAATACAGTGTCACTGACCCATTTTCTCCACAAATGGGCTTGTATAGTAGTTGTGGTTATTAGAGCAGGCTCAGTGTAGTACTCAAAATATGGGTCACAACTCACAAGTCTCACAACCAACAAAGTATTGAAAATTTCCAGTAAAACAAAAAGTCCTACATATAATAAGGATATAACCATCCTTTGGCTTGGCCTGATTATGAATTTACCATAAAAGCTTAAGAAAGCAATTCAAATTAATTTGGTTTTGAATACATATAACCGTTAGTCTGCATATAAAGAGAAAAGACTCATACAAGTATTCATGTAGTAAGTACATGGTAACGCAATTTCATCCCCACTCGATTATTGGTTCTAAAATTTACATAAAACATGATCAATCTAATTGAGCATATACGTAATTGAGTTTATATAATTTCAAAGTGACTTCTTTTCTCAACTTCAGTTTTCATTAACTCCATTAACATATATACAAACCAAATCAACACTTTATAGTAATCCAGCTAAGTGACATGCAAATAAGCGATTGTTAAATACTGATCCATTATTATTCCATAAAGAAGCAGCTTGTTAATCTTTGTCTAATAGCAGATGAATCTTGACATTTAGATTGCAAATTTTGTCCATAGATGTGTAACAAGAAAGTCGGCTCTAATGAAATAGACAATGTGATATAGATTTATATAATAAATGATCTTTAAATGTACAACAAGTGTCAATATGTCCGAGTGGTTAAGGAGACAGACTTGAAATCTGTTGGGCTTCGCCCGCGCAGGTTCGAACCCTGCTGTTGACGATGTTTTGTTTTTTTTTCAACAATCATTTTCTTAATCCCAAAATAATAATTAGCACTTTGATTTCAAAAAGAAATTTGACCAAAAATTGTCTCGACATATATAATAAACAATATTGTTTCAATATATTGGTTTTATTTAAACTCTTCTCAATTATTTCAATTAAAAATATTGTCTTTTCAAAATCTAAATTGATGCTTAAAAGAAAGAAGAAAGAAAGAATTGATGCTTAAAAGATCAAATAATGATGGGTAGAAGATGTGCATAACTTGAGACAAATGAGTACATGTGACAAATAATATTGATTCGAGCTAGTATAATCGTTTAGAATAATTAGAATAAATGAACAATTGCTTGACTAGTCCGTTAGTACTACGGAGTACAAAGATCTGTCTAAATAAATTTCACTTTTTTCCACTAGACAGCTAATGTTGAAAAACCAATTCTAATAATTTCTTACCTTAGCTAAAATAAAGTACTCCGTATATCATTATCCCATGTTCATTGCACTTGGGGAGTAATGCTGAAAAAATGATCGAAAATTGATGAAACAAATAACTTCCTGACGAAATATTCCAAAAAAAAAAAGGAGATAATTTATTGATTAAGCAACCCTTTATCTTGTTATCCAATTACAAGAATTTGGAGAAAAAAAACAGGGCAAGTTGAGAAGCAAAGAAAGAGTAGTAGTAAGGGTTTTCTCAAATTTAAAAACATTAATCGCATGAGAAAAGGACTTTAAGTCTTTAACCCTCGAAGTTGCGGCGTTGGGACCCACTCTTCAAGTTGACTCAAACTAGTTTTCTTAATCAAACTGCTGCCCAACTGATTCTGTCAATTTCTGACCTCATTTCTTAGCTTTCACCAACATTCATTATTATACTATATATTTTTTTTTCTTTTAGTTTTATTTTCATTTCTTTGAGCAAATTGGGCATGCAGATGTTTATGGACTATCGCATGCATTATCCTTTTCTTTAATTAGATTTTAATGGGTTGTAAGTTTCAAGTTTGCAACTTGTAACACTTGTAAAATAATATTCCCTGTATTTTATAAGATTCTTAAACAATAACAGTCAAGTTTAAGGTGCCTTTGATCTCTTCCAATTTATAGTGTGTTCAACAAAATTAGAACTAAAAGTATATTGCTGTAACTAACACTACAAAGGCAATTTATAAAAGTTGACCTCTTTAAGTAAATATAGCAACATGTTTGCACTTCATCTATTCTTTATTGTTTGTCTCAATTTTTTTTTAGTCTGTCTACTCGTCTAGATGATCACACCTTTAGTCTCACAACCATTGCAATTGATTCCACTACTTTTCCTTCTCATCAATTCCTTCGAAACAAAATTAAAGTAACATTACCTCTATGGAGCAAAAATAAAGTAAGGAAATGAGTATAACATAAAATAGAACCATTTATGATGGAATAGGTCAACTTTCAATATTGCGTCAACTCATAATTACTTAATAATTCCCCTTAACACTACTACGAGTAAGTAAATTTTTTTTATTTTTTTTTAATGTTTTTTTGTTTCTCCCATTATCCAGGTTTATTATTGATGTCTACATCAATGAATAATACGATCAAAATAAAACACACAGACAAATAGTACATGAATCAAAGTGGAACATATATTAAAAGAACGGAAGAGATAGATAAATAAATATTGAAAAAAAAAAAAACTTGTAACTCTGGATCTAATGTCTTTGCCCACACCTTAGAAGCTGGCATTTTAGGTACTAGTACGGAGTATATGCCAGGATGTATGTTCAGAGTATAGAATGATGATTGGGCGGCAATATGCTCTGTTGATTATATTATCAAACTCAATTCAAGTATTATAATTAGAGTAGAGTTAGAGTTAGGGAGTAGGTTAGATGATTCCATTGACCAAATTCATTTTCTTTTATTGATTAGTGGTCTAAAATGAGGGTATCTCATTAATGTTTGTGGTTAATGTGAAATAAATCTTCTAGGTTCATTGCTAAATTTATAATTGACGATACAAAGTACTTGAATCAATGCATTGGTTTAGATTATAAGTGTTGCACAGCCTTGTACTGGTCTTGGACGCTATTACGTTGGTATAATTTGCTCCATACAATTTAAAATTTTCTAATTTAGTTAGTTAACAAGAGCATAATAGCATATTGTGCGGAACAAAATTGTCATTTTGCTATTCTAAAGCCGGAGGATTATGATCCTTTTTACTTACAATAAATCACGCTGGAAATAAAATGTTGTAATCTAATTATAATTCATGGAAACAAAAAGGAACAAATTTTAAATTTTATTGAGTACCCAATAATTGTGAAATAAAAATAATCTTTAAAAATCACATAATAATTTGTGAATAGGTGCTAAATTATGGGCTCAATCAGCCATAAAATTTTACAATATTAATAGGAATATTAATAACATTATCCAAATAGTAGTCCACTTGTATTTTATTTTATACTGTACTCTTTCATGACTTTAGGACCTAGGGATGTGTAGACAACTAGAGCTTATTGTTGTTTACTGTATACAATTGTGGCAAGGAAGTTTTATTCAATGATCAAAGTCACATATGAAAAGGGTGTATTCTTCGATTCATTTTGACCTTTTTTATATAAAATGCGAGATAAGTTGAAATTATTTCATTTAATTAATTTAAATAACTTAAACTAAGTTAGACTTAATATACCGGACTTTTATTGATGAATTTGCCAATAATAATAAGTGCCTAGGTGAAAATCATAAACTTATATGTCATCAGTCGCCACCACTCAATAAATCTACGGAGTATGATTATTCGATATATTATAACATATTATTTTATTTCAAATATTTATTCATAACAACACACAGTTAAGACATATTTTGGAATGAGCAAATATAGAAACACGAAATTATACAGAAGTGTTGTGAAGGTTCAATGGGCACTCAAGAGGGGGGGGGTGAATTGAGTGTTAAGTAATCGTTGGCTAATTTTGCTTCTTTTCGGATTATGTGTGAGGAACCAGTTGTGCTGGTTCCCGTACGCAGCGGAATATAAATAAGCAATAAAGAAGACAACAAATTTAACGAAATA